CGTTTGAATCAAACGTTATTATGGAATACGGGTACCCGTTTGAAACGGTACCCGTTCGAAACGGTACTCATTTGAAACGGTTCCCGTTCGAAACGGTACCCATTTGATACAGGTGCCCGTTTGATACGGGTGCCCGTTCGACCTGGCACGTGACCACACGTTTGAACGTGCCATTCGTATTCGCTAGCCCTAAATGGGTATCGTCCGGGAGGTTGGTAATTTTAAACTTATTTAAGACGTCCCGAAACTCATAAACGTGTTTATAACATGGAGAAAACACGTAGAACGAATGGGCTCGCGTAGGTGCTTGCAAATGGACAGGAAAACAGACACAAAGGATTGTTTTCAATTCTCCTCGAAGTTTATTACCCCCTCTGACGACAAGTACAAACGTGCAAGCGATCTGTGAAATGTGCGAGGCACTTTATGCTTTTATACAACTGAGAAGATTGCAAAGCAAACAAGAACCGAGGTAATTCTAGACTATACAGCTAGACTTTCAAGGAAATTATTCTCCCGGCTGCCTCGTGAATAGGCGCTGCATAATTCTACGGATAACCTGGAAGAGTGCACGTAGAAGAGCGGTCAATCGTTGCCAACACGTATTTTGCAGTGCACTTACCATAATAATAGCGGACTTGAAAGATGTAATCCGTGATATTTGTCGTCACGGTCAAAGCAGGACAACCACACAAAAACGAGAAGGAAGGCTCGTTGAAGTTTCAACACGATGCGGCGCACAAGCTGTCATTTGCCGAACCCAGCCAAACCGTAAGAATTCCTGACTTTGAAGAATCGCTTGTCGCCGATATACGCGTAGGACTTTTCGAACATTTGATGCACATCCCATACGTTGTCGAGAGACATTCTTATAAGACCGCAGGGAAAGGCGGCAGATCGAAGCAGGCAGGACAAACGAAGTTGCAACGGAAAACAAGCAGACAAAGAATCAAGCGACTGTCAACGCGCGCGCAGCCGGATCTGGCTATGCTTATCAGCGTGGAGCCTGCCCTACCCTCTCTCTGGTCACGTGACAGAGCCGACCAGAGAGGAGGAAGGGGGCGACGGCGAGGTCAAGGAGCAAGACACCGGGACACCCCACCCCTTTTCCTCGCCAATCCCCTCCTCATGCATTCTATAAAAAAAAAAAAAAAAAAAAAAAAAAAACTTGCGGTTGGTTTTTTGTGGCAATACAGTCAATGCTAGGGGAGAGGGTGCACGGACCGCTGTACACGCGCTTTTCTTCTCTCTTGGAGTTGCCACTGCACGTCGCGTTTGCAGCCTTGGAACGCAGGCGAAACGCGCGTATTTTAGCACGCACGCTGGAAATGGCGTCGGCCATGAGCTCGGCTTGCGCCCGAGCCAAAAAAGCACCCAGCACGAGCTCGTAATTTGACTGCTGCAACGGCGGGTGTGCTCTCGCAATGCTCGATGTTCTCGCAGGCACGTGTTCGCGCTACCTTCGCCGCGTCTTGAAATGAAGTGAAACGGACTCTAGAAATACATCCTTTCATGCGGTCGCGTCTTCTGCAAGAGAGATTCGAGCTGAATAAGAAAATTAAGGCAAAAAAGATGGACAAAGTTTTAAAGTTCTGTCAAAAATATCGGCTCACCAACGTCGCGCGTTTATGTAAAATAAGAAAAAAAAAGTGTTAGTTTTAGTTGCTGTATAATCGCACATCAGCGCACTTAAAATATAAATACAATTACTTGCATTAAGCGGACGATCTGAAATCAGCCAGCCTTCCGGAAACATTGGCTGCCACGGCTCAAACAGGCGTGCCCAGGCCGCCGATCTGTACGTTCAATATCAAACGGGCTCCCGAGAGCCGTTTGATTAAACCGGTACAGTTTGACGGTCCGGTCACCCGCTTGTGCAACATGTTCACCGGTTTGAGCAAATGTGCGACAACTTTGCCCAAACGAGTCGCCCATTTGCCCCGACGAGTGACCCGTTTGCCAAAGAAGTGACCAGTTTGCCCAAATAGGTGACCGTTATGGCTCATACGGGGGACCCCTTTGAGCCATACGGGCCACCCCTTTGGCAAACTGGTGACCGGTATGGCTAAACTGTTACCGGTATGGACCCGTTTATTTTCATACAAGCGACAAATGGTTTTTGTCAGTAGGGAGGCTACTATTCGCAACTCCAACGCCCTAGAGGTGGCGGGGCGGTAGTTCCAAGATGGCGGAGGAGACGGGGATAGATTCTCCTAGATACCCCGTGCGCCTGCTCGCTGACGCTGTTCAGCGCGCTAAAAATGGCTTATTTGTCTACAAGTGCGAAGCGGTTAGGGAGGGATCATAATACAGGTGACGGAGATGCTGATGTACCTTAGGAAAACGAGCATGCTGTAATTTTAAAGTTTCAGAAACCTCAAAGTGCGAAGCTTTGTGGTAAGCGAGCGCATTTTAGGCACCGGCTACGTTACTGTTTGTGGCAGAATATTTTTGAGGGTGATGAAGATATGTTTGCGCTTTGCCTGGCCATTTGTGCTCTAAGGAGAGAGCCGGGAACGGGGACCGTCAAGCTTCGGAAGAGCAGCAATACACAGTATTGGTGTCTTCGGGTCACAGCCTCAGAAATCGCTGCTCACCGTCTCGGTTTTAGTGTATTGCTACACGTAGTCAAACTGCTCTATGGTTATTGATAGAAAGTTTATTACCGCAGGCTACCGTGCGGTGTAGCATTACAACCGCAAGCTCGCGCCGCGCCTTTGAAGTACAACTTTGAGTGCGCGCCGGATGCGTTGCCGTGCTCATCACTCTAAAAAAGAAATGTTGTAGTCCTTACACTTCTTGTCCACATATACGACACTCCAAAACTTCAGTTCGCCCTGCAGCCCACTGGCGTCAAACTGACGGCCCCAACTTTTACGAGGGGCTTGATGACGGCGCAATGTAAGATATTAAACAGCTAACGTACGCATCAGAGTACCAAAAAACAAAACAAAAAACACCGAAGTTTTGCAGTAGGGCCCCGATTACTTTTTCTACAGTCATTTACACTTACTTAAGCTATTTTAATAAGTTGCACAACTCGGCTATCAAGCCGCTCGTGAAAGTTGGTAGCGCTGGTAGAACGTCAGTGCGCTGTACGTCCAACTGAAGTTTAGGGGATTCGGACGCTATGCAAAAACTGCCTATTATTATAATCAGCGTGTTTAGGGGTTTTGTTTATTGCTCTATCAAAAACAATATTTTAATATACCGTACATTTGTTGTACCGTGTTATTTGCAACATTGCGGTATCTCTGGCCAAATCTGCGCGTTCTAAGCTCTCGTCACAAACGGCTGGAGACGCGCTTAAAATGCTTCGAACATTTTTTTTATTTGATTTGGAATTCCCTGAAGCAAGTACGGGTATTCTCTCTTTCTAAGTGCTTAGAATCAATGATCATGTTCCTTGTAACGGCCTTAAAACGCGAACCTATTCCCGATTTGTATTGCTCGACACCGTACCTGGCGCATCATAGCCTAAGATGCTTTTGCGCCATAAAACCCCAACCAACCAACTATTGCTCGTCATACCCTTGCGCGACGAGTTTGCTCCTACTTATGGCAAAGAATGGACTTTCCGTAGACCGTACTATAGAGTTATTTATTATTACCGGGAGCGTTTTCAATCACGTTGAGCACAGATTGAGCTGGCGGCCATGCACAAGACCAGAAACCCACAGAGTATGCGATACACAAAAAGTCCCTAATGAAATTAGACCTCCCGGTCCTTTGTGCAAGGCTGTTGCAAAGCGGAGGACAAGAATTCCACTTTTAACCCGCTCATTTTTTTCGTTAAAACGGCTTCACGCATCAAGGCCGACAGTCCCTGCCACCGTTTCCGCGACGCCGTCGCCGCTGCCGTCCCCACTCCTCTGGTTCTCCGTTTGTCCGCGGGAAGGCGGGCGGCGCGCTGGACTTGCGAATAAAGGGAAACTAAGGGTTGGGCACTCTTCTCAGAAAGAGGCCACTTTTTGCTCGAGCACATATTTTCATAGTCGCTTTTACGTGGGGAGTAATGAGCGAGTAATTCGGGGTTAGCTCACAAAGCTCACCGTGGGATGAAAGTGGTTTGTGTACCTTAGTCCTATTTATCATTTAGCGGTAACACGTCATATCTGCTGAGAGTATTTAATGAATCATAGCGGCAAAAGCAGGTGGCATGTCGTCGCCTGCTTCTTGCCAGCATTTAATAGAGAGCCTCAAGAGTGTGTTCAACTGCTAGATTTAGGCATGTGTTTATGCGTGCCATTAAACTGCAAAATTTTGCTCTGGGTCTAGGGGGCAATGGCTCCTTTTTAACGCAAATTCGGTTATAAACAGATGCGTCAAGATTTTACGTGAAGAATAAAATAACACTTTTCTATAGACACCATTTTAGTTCCGATAGGTTGTCATTTTTATACGCGAAAAAGTGTATAATCCGCCATCTCTAAAGGCTCGTTCACACTCTTGCAACCGAGTACGACTTAGAGAAACAAGACCGGTTTTTAATCCTATTGCGACGTCTTAGGATCCGGCGCGTTGCTGCGGAGATGATTTAAAGACGTCGTAAGAGGATTAAAAACCGGTCTGGTCTCTCTCAATCCTACTTGGTCGCAAGAGTGTGAACGGGCATTAACGCAGTTATTTAATTGCCACTTTATATTACACCAATGACATCTACACTTTGAGCACCGGAAAGCTACTTCAAATTAGTTATCGCAATAGCTTCAACGAGCAAGCGGAGTGCAGCATATTCCACGTTGCTTTTCATGAACTGCTTCAAAGGGCACTTTAAAAAAATATATTCTTTTTCAGACAATGATAAGCAAACAACAACAGAGAGCTCCGGAATTTCCGGCAGATGCTAATAAAATAAAATTAAAAAAAACATACTCTTTAGTTTCTTCAAAACAAGTATCAGTATGATTGAATCAAGCGCATGCGCACCTTTAAAGGTCACGTTGCTGTAATGGTAGAAATACTTGTAACACATCCGCAGTTCTGAGTTCTCGCCTATCATCGCACATTTTCTAGGAGCCATGAAAGTGGACAGCAGAATATTGATCCTTGCCTCAACAATCCTTGTGGTCGTTTGTGGTACGTATAATCTCACTTAACTCGTGTAAACAAGAACTTCCGTCTTCTTGCCGTAAAACTACTGCTGTAATTTGTAACTGACTTTGTTTATTTTTTTTTTATTTTCAAAAGTGCTTTTTTTTGGTAACCTGAAATCAGGCTGATTAAGAATGCTTCTATAATTTTTTGAACAGCATAACAATGCTGAAAAACAAAAAGGTGCAATAATAAGGATAGTGAAAAAAAACGCATTAATGATGTATGCAACCACTGTACTGAAGTATTATAGCTAAGATAGTGTCGCAGCTTTTGAATACATTTTGTTTAACTTTCGGTCAGAGCATAACCGAAGCTGCGATCTGCAGAAAAAAAAAAAAAACACGATCAAGTCGTAAAAGAAAAGGGCGTTTCGTCGCCCAGTCGTGCCCTGTCTCTCACAGGCTCAAACAATAACTCAAATGGGCTGTGTGACTTTGTTTTTGTATGTGCGTCTAAGTTCTCAGCACGCTCGTCTTCTAGCATTTTACTTCGGTCTGACTTAAGGTGAAAGGACACCATAAAAAGTTTAAATCATATTTTCTTAAATTTTGAAGACCATTTACATATATTTTTTTCATACGTGGCATAAAATTCAGTATTAGTTAATCCACATTAATGTTTGAGATAAAATTTTGTGAGCGTCTGCTAACCCAAACGAAAATTAGGAGATCGATTTTATGTTTAGTTCCCACCTTGGGTTTGGAAACATTTTAATTGTTGTCGTTCTTTTCTCGTGTGTGTATTTTGAATCTGTCTCAGTTTCCCCAAGTTGGTTTCGTGATTAATAAAATTTAAATTCCTCTTTTTAGAAGAACTAAGGGGAAACGGGAATCTTTTCTGAGATTTTAAAAAAAGTTACATGTTCCTCAGGATGCTTCGGTAACTTTGGTATACACTTAGGGGTGTTACGACGCCCCAAGAATAAAATATGAGACAGCTAGAAAGCTATGACCTATGACGAAAATATGACAGCTAGGTGACTGGTGCGCGGCCGAAAAAATCCGCCTGGTCTGGGTGTCGAACCCAGGACCTCTCCATTACAGATGTTGAACCCGAGACCTCTCCATCTGTAATGGAGAGGTCCCGGGTTCGATACCCGGACCCAGGAGCAGCCACCTAGCTCTGTTTGGAGATTTGTGTTTGTCCTTTGTCCCTCTGGTTCCCCTTTTCCAGGGATTATTTCCGACATTCTTGTCCAGCTCGCTTGCACCTGTGCATTTAATTGCATTTTAATTATGGCCTATTGTATGATTTATGTAAACTTGCTCGATTTTTTTGTTTTTTAATGGCCCTATAGTTTCGCGGATAAATTGTCTTATATGCGGTCCCTCAGATCCGCCTCATTCGAAAAGTGCTGTCATGATTGTTGGGTCGGTGGCGTCATCCGCTCAACACGCGTCGTCCCCTTGCACGAACTCGCCGACTTCACTCTCTCGGCGCCTCGAGCCTCAGCTTCCACGTTTACCTTCCGCGTTTAGAAGACGCGTCTTCGAGACATTGACGTCTACGACATCACACAGTTTGTAATAGTCTCTGACACTTATCGGATTAGGAACGATAGTGATATTATTAAAAGTAAGACCCGGGGGGGGGGGGGGGGGGGGGGGGGTCACCAGCCATGGGGAAACTTTCCCAGCAATTTCATTTCAGCTGGAGAGTTGTTCCCTAACTTTATCTAGATCCTCGCGCTGCAACACGATTTGCTGAGGTAGAGCCCAGCTCGAAACGGAGGAGCGACTCTGACAACTCGTAGATGTTTGAAGCGGCATCATACAATCAGGGGATGTAATATTTTTACGTGACACCCCTGTGGCAATGATGATGGAGACTAAAAACATAGTTCTTGTTTGAAATATATCGTTTTTGGGAATAAATCGTTTCAGAAAGATGAGTTAGTAATCTCAAAGCCATTTTGAGATACAAAAAGACGTTTATTAAGTTCACCTCCGTCTATATAGTGGGAAACAAAATTTAATGATGATGATGGCACATTGTAGCAATTTGGTCTATGGGTCTGAACGCGAGCGGCACGGCCCGTCTGGCTTGTGTTGTGACGTGAGGTTGCTGGGAGAAATTGCTCTGTTTGAATCGCGCCATAAATGCTGGTCTTTTTGACTTCGGCTGGCTTGCGACCAGCTCCAGCGATGACCACGAGATCGCAAGGGACCGATTCGCCGTCGCCTACGAATATCGCGCACGTAAATGCAAGTTGGAAGATCAAAGGGCAAGGGGACGATAGCAAGAGCATGCATTAGCGTGGCAAAATAGCTTGAGAGTGTGCGATCGTAACTTGGCGACGCGAGCTGGGCCAGCATGAAGAGCCTAGAATAAGTAATATTATGGTCACGTTGTTTATGGACACCGGGTATGACTAACTTGGGCGGTTTTTGCTGGTCGCCAGAAGAAATTTATCAACATTCGAGAATTGGTGACTGCAACTACTAGAGCTCTAAATATCACGAAACTTGCGAAAGTTGCTGTTTATTCTAAGTACCCATGATCACTCGATTTCAAAAATAATCTACAATGTTCATGTGTTAACACTTAATTGTATTAATAATCTTTAAAGGCATCCACGTGAATTACTGTATCGCTTCTTGCTACATTGCAGATGCACGACTCCATCACTGAAAGTAATCGCCCGTTTTAACATGGATAGGATACGTATAAATAGCCCGTAACTATCATATAGTGAAATAGCAGGAGAGAGGAGAACGCTTACATTATCAGGGTTATCAGCGATTGTCAGTTATAAATGTCGTCACAAACTTTTTACTTAGCCAGTTGTCGTGTCCTGTGTCATTAACTGGCGTCTCTAAAAAAATGAAACCTTATATTATTTTGTTCTAGATTCAGATGATGAGGACAGTGAAGAATTTTCGGGGGAGTCCTATTGGATGAAGGTGTGCGAAAGAGGTATGATGATTCTGTGACGGCCTTGCATGATGTTACTTTCTGGATAGGATAGCCGTGTGTGCTGCACAGTGTTAAGATCAGGGTATCGAACCGGTCATATTGCGGTTGTGTTCAGGTACGGGGTTTTGTTTCGGTTCGGTTCCGGTTACGCCATGCATTCAATATGTCGGTTCTGTTACCGGTTCACATAAGCCCGAACCGCTTCAAACCGGTTCATAACTCTACCTTAAGGCTAAGGCCCCCCGTGGATTTCCTGCGCTAGACAAAAAGAAAAATAAAGAGCTTCCAGTGGTTAAGTAAACAAAACATCGCTCAACTCGGTGTCATTTGCACTAAAAAAAAAGTGGTCATCAGACGCCGTGCCGCGGAAACGAGGAGAGCAAAACAAATAGATGCCTAATTTTGTTTTCTCATGTTTACTTTTTATCTTAGATACCATTGCATGCAAATTCAGCAGTGACATCTGTCTCTTTTCACCTTGCTTTTTCGGAAGTCATTTGATGTGTACCGCACAAAAGGCCCTGAGCTGTTTGTGGCAGTAGTGGCAGTAATAGCAGTAGCGCCAGTAGTAGTAGTAGCACTATCTTTGCGACCTATGTGTAAAAAATCTTCATTATTTCTTCAGTGCTGTAGTATGCGGATGATATTAAGATATTCAATGAGGCCCGCCGTTATGTGGATTGCCTGATGCATTAGGCGAATGTGTGCGCACTCGGAAACTCTGTTTAGCCATTAATCTTCTCCTAAACAAAGCTAAAACAAAGGTAATAATTTATAAGCGAAAAACGCATAGCGTATATTTTTCCTATCAGACTTGTTCTGAGGTATTATGTCGTGTTAGAGAGATCCGGGCCTGGGAGTCACACCTCCGTCCGTTTTGAAGATCCCGCGAATGAAATAATCATGTTCTCGTTACATACTCCCGGAGTGGCCTGTAGAAGTAAAGAGAGCGGACGAATCCCGACTTATTGCTTATTAAATACTGCGCCCTAACTCGAGATCAGTTGGAGGTGGGATTGTTGTTTCCTTAAGAAAATAATGGGCCTCAAAACAAGATGTTATTTTTTTTATTACAATGAATGTATTTTGTTAAATATTTAAAACTATAATTATTATCTTGGTCTTCTAGCATGCTATATAGACATCCTTCCAAAACTGACAGGCAATTTATTCAAGAGCTTAAGGGCACCCTCTCCGAGCGTTGTAGTCAGAGCTTATTTTGCATAGTACGAGACATGAACATAAATCTCCTGAAATATGACACGTCAGAGGGATGTGATTTAAACACTCTCGCTAGCGCAGGTATTACAGCTACCATCAGCAGTCCAACTTGACAGGAACTGATGGCCGGTAAGCTCGTGTTATCCTGTACCGACCAGATTTTTGTTCGGACGCAATACGTAATGATAAAGTCGTCAGAAATTTCACAAACATTGTTTGAACACCTTTTTATTGGTTACCAGATAGTCCGATCCACTGCCTCGGCAGCTGTTTCAAATCATATCAAGTCCATTAAAAAACAAATAAAAATTACAGGAAGATCTATTGATGGATTCTTAGGGTATTCGATAACATGACCCCTGAAAACGCGAACGCTGACCCCTTCACTTTTCTCTTTGGCTTTCTCTTTTGCTTCCTCTATGTTTTGCTGCCTGCTTTTGGCCTCGCTACGGGGTCAGTTTAGCATTTCCTAAAGGGGGACGTGTGTTCCGTTTTCGAAGGATTCTCCGAACGGATTCCCTCAGAATCTACCAATGGATCCTTCTATAGTTTTCTGTCACCCCGGTTTTGTACTCTGCCGGTCAAAGTACGTTGACAACCTTAAATACGGTCATCCATATTACTCATGGAAGTAACCACATCAATGCCCTTACCATAATCCGCTTCCCCCGTCAGGATTGAATGACTTTATCCGAAAATCGTGATGTATACCATTCCTTTAATAAATGCGTTTTCTCACTCACTCCCTCGTGGAAGGAACTGCATCCATGTCACTCGGGAAGGGAACCGCATTTATCGTTTTAACTCCACGCGCACACACACATCACAACCGACGCACCACTACTACGGAAACCAAGAACGAAGAACAACCGTTGACGGTAAAGCAGCAACTGAGCACGCCCGCATTCCACAGCGCCGGGCGGCAACCCCTCCTCTCTGTCTTCGCGCCAGCTGTGCACGCGGCTGACGAGAAGGAAGGGCCTAGTTTTGAAGAAAACCTGGAGCGCAGCGATGCCTGTAAGTTCGACAGCGCCTAGGAGAGAAGGAGAAATTAGCGCGTGTTGACGTCACCGCTTAGGACCAATAGGCGCTTCCCACGTGTCACCCTCTCCCCCTCCTTCTTCATCTTTCCCTGGCGCTGACGGACGCAAGACCGCGGATTTTTCATCAAAACTAGCGTTATAATGCGCCTCGCTTCTTGAATCTGTGTCTTGTTCAGATGTTTATTCCAAATACATACATTCTCACGATTGATATAAGACTAAGGCACAGTGTAATGACTTGGTTAAAAGGCGAAGGTCAGATCGCGCTTGGTTGAGCCCTCATATTTTCGCTGCAAGCTCAGATAAAGAAAAGGTTTTGTTCCGTTGTAAGCGACCGCCTGAAAGTGTTAAACTACGAGCAGAGTTTCGTGCGGATAGGAAGAGGGCAAACGCTGAAAGGTTCTCGGAAAATCGTTCTTCCATCGGACAAACCTGGCCTCTCGTAAACGCGATTCGAGGCTATCAAGGCCAAAGCTCTCTTGATGACGTGATAGTTAATTTTTTAGGTAATATTTCGAAGATTGTGGAAAACTGTAACCGCTTTTTCGTAACCTTTGAGCAATCAGTGATTGTGACTATTATGTATTGCGGCACGCACCGGTCTCCAATAAAAGACGACGACGAGCACGCTTGCGGCAGACCGGGTTGTGGCTGCACTCCCAGCCGAACGCACTTGAGTTTGGTCTCCTTTTACTGATATTTCCTGAATATATCACATTGGCGACGAGGTAGATTAAACAAACTACGCCATCAAAACCGTGGACCAGGGCCGAGAAGCACGAGAGTTCTCGGGAAGGCAAACGTCTTCTTGATCTTCTGCAGTCGCGCTATGCCTAAGCTCGAACCGTTTCTCGGAGAGAGCAGAGAACAGGGAGAGTATGTGGAGGTACTGGGGCAGCACTTTATCGCTAATGACGTCACGGGAGCAAAAAAGAGTGCAGTATTTTTGTCAAACTGTGGCAAATGAACGTACTGACCTTTTAGTAATATCCTGGCCCCGTAGAGACCATGGGAGGTTGCCATCCCCGCCATTATTAGGTTCTGAATGGACATTACGCTCCTCGACCCTCCATATTCATTGAGCACATCCAGTTTTTCTGGAGAGGTCGTCAGCAGGCAGAGCCTGTGAGCGACTTCACTGCGTCAATACGGTAGTTAAGACTCCTCCGACTTCAATACTGTCCAGAACGACATGCTTCGACAACGGCTAGTCTGCGGAATCATTTATGGCATGATGCAGACCCGCCTTCTAGAGGATGTAGAACTGACTTTTGATAAAGCGATTAAGGTTGTCCTAGCCATAGAAGCCGCCACAAAAGACGCCCAAGAAACTAAAAATCAAGCTTGAACGACATTAGCTGTCGAGGCGAACCGCCTGTCAGCGCAGGCTCCCAAGCCAGGATGCTTCCACTGCGTGAAAACACATAGTTCGACCGCGTGTCGTTATGCTAATATGACATGCCACAACTACAAGAAAATTGGCCTCTTGGCTGCAGTCTGTACAGCAAGACCATGTGACGAGCCAAGTGGCGTAAACACAGGCAGAAAAGCCTCGTAGGGCTCCCGGGATTCACCAGGGGAAAGGCCAATGAAAGCTGCCTCGGCAGTTCCAGTTCACAGCCCGGATGACCCCCACAATCACGACAGTGCCGATGACCAGCCCACGTACAACATGAGGCACTTGAAAGCGGCATGTCTTCCACCACGTATCTTAACTGTCATTGCTCAAGACCAATCCATCGACATGGAGCTTGGCACTGGGGCCGGCGTCTCCGTAATAAATGAAAGACACTTCCGAGCGACGTTTTCAGAAGTGCCTGTTATTCCCTTCAATATCGCCCTGAGAGGATACTCCCGCGTGTTAAATGATGCGCCGAGGTAATCGTAAAGTAACAAAAATCGTGGCGCTCTCCCTCCTTTACTTTGCTTTTTGTGAGTGCAACCTCCCAGACTCTGCTAGCACGGAACTGTGTTTATGCTTTGAAACTTCCAGTTGCTAACATCGTCAACATTCACAACAACACTGTGGAGGGTCTCCTTCGCAAGTTCCCATGTGTATTCTCCAAGGGACTGAAGCTGCTCAAGGACGTGGGAGCCGAGATTGGCGTCCAAGGTGGATTACAACCACGCTTCTTTAGAGTGCAACCAGTCTCCTTTGCACTGTAAGATCTGGTGGTCCAGCAGCTTCAACGACCTGACCGGGAAAAATTATGCAGCAAGTAAAGACGTCAGTCTGGGCGGCACACATTGTACCGCTACTCAAGAAAGACGGTCGGCTGCGAATTTCCGGAGGTTTCAAGGTTACCCTAATTGCAGCCAGCGTCCAGTGCAGTGTTATACCCGATTCCGAGAGTCGAGGAGCTGTGGATGAATCTGTCCGGAAGCGTCATATTCAGTCAACTTGATCTCAAAGTTGTGTACTAGCAGGTTATATTATCTCCAGCACCGAGAAAGTATGTGACAATACACGCATAAAGGATCACTTGAGTACACCAGGCTAACATTTGGTGTATCATGGGCGCCTGCAGTTTTCCACCGAGAAAGGAAAAATCTGGTTTGCGTCATAAAGCTCGTGGTCATGTGCTTTGATGACACATTGATAGTGGGAGGGGATGACTTTGACAGCGCCAGAATCCTCGAAAAGGTACTCCAACGACTGACAGAATCAGGCCTGAAGTTGATGTCTTAAAAGTGTGAGTTTTCCTTTTCAAAAGTAGAGCACTTAGGGCACTTGAT